CTCATTAAGACCGTCTGATCTGGACCCATCCAACAGTTTAGATTAATGATCATTTAGGGTCTGAAACCTTAACCCTAACTTCAGCCACCATTACTGCTAACATCAGTCGTCGCTCGAGCCGAGTTTCCCCTTGCCGCCATCAATAAGTTTGCACCAATCGTGACAAGAAATCCAATCAAAGTCAGAAAATATTACCAAATCCAAATGATATCCCTACTAAAAAAAGTCCACTGCTATCACCCATAAGACCCATAACATTAACAAAAGAAGATCATTTGGGGTTTAGGTGAGGAGGAAAAATAGAGAGACAAGAAAATAGAGAGAGAACAGAGAAGATATTGGGAAAAATAACAACGAAAGAAAAAAAAGATCCAAACCCAAAAGAAAAAAAAAACAAATCACCTAAACAAAACCATTGAGCCACCGAAAGTAAAGAAAAAAACCCTTACCTTGGCCGGAGGAGCGTCGAGAAGCCCACGAGTCATCGGAGTTGCATTTTTTCGAAAGGTAAAGGGTTTGATCTAGGTTCCTAGGGTCAGGTTTAGGTGAAACTAAGTAGGGATTGGGGTAGAGAGGGTTGAGAGAAATTTATTTGGGTTTTGTCTCTCTGACGAGGGGAAGTTGAGGGAGTTCTCACTCTCTTTCTCTCTTTTTTTTCTGGAAAATGGGAGAAAATAAGGAAGTGACTGAGTTTTGGCCTATTGTTGGGCTTTATATTCAGCCAACAAAACGACGTAGTTTTGGCTATCCCCTTCCTCGTGTTTTTTGAAATTTTAGGGAAAATAACACGTTTGGTCCCCCATACTTTGTACTCTTTTCGTTTTATCATCAAATGAAATTTTAATGTTCTGTTCCAAACATGTATCTTTCAATAATTATATTTCAGTCACTATTTGTTTATTTTGTCATGTTTGTGTATGTTTCACTTTGGTCACAATGTTTTTAGTTATTTCATTTTAGTCACTAGTACCATGTGTTGTATTTTATTTTGATGTTCGAATTTGGCCCTGACATTTGTAAATATCTTATTTTAGTCATTGTTGGTATTTGGTTTAATTATTGTTAGGCCCTTTTATGTTTATTTAATTTTTGTCCTTATTTTTAGTTATTGGGTTATTTTCATTTCCAGTACCTGTATTATTTAATATTTTTTTATTTTGACTCTGGTTTTTGTATTTACCGTTCAGTCCTTTAACTTTCAATTTTTGCTTTTTTGTCCTTTAAGTTTTTTTGCTATTTTACTCCTTTAACTTTCTATTTTAGCTATTTCAGTCCTTTAATTTTTTTGTATTTGTTATTTTGGTCCTTTAACTTTATGCATTTATTGTCCAGTCCTTTAAATTTCTGTTAATTTTATTTTAGTCCTGTAAATACTTGTATTTTAGTGTTTTCATTTTGGTTTGTAATGTTTACTTATTTTTATTTTAGTCATTTATGTATGAATGTATTTTACATATTATGTGGTTATTTGTATTATGTAAATAATGTTTTAGTTCCATTTAATGTAAATATTTTATTTTGTATTTTTAATTACATTTATTTACATTGCATTTTATCCATGGATGAAATGTTCGATTTTTATTTCCAAGAACACGTATGCTTAAAATGAGCGTGGAAAGTACCACTTGGTCGAAGTGGTGCGATCCGATACAGCATTTTAACGACATGAGAACTTGAAATAAAATTGAGTTTATTTTACTAATTAATTCATTTTTTATTTCTAATTCAAATTATGCAATGTACGTTTTTAAACATTATTTGGTTAATTTTATGCAAATGTTGATTCTCAATTTATATTTTATTCACGTTTTCAAAACAATGAGGGAATATTCTTATACGGATAAGAAATAGTCGAAATAACTTTCCCGACGGAGGATTACTAATCTCGAGATTTCTTTTCAAGTTAAAGAATTTTCTCTAATTAATTAATTCAAAGTAAATTTATCAAACTTCAATAAACGAATAATATTTTAATTTTATATTCGATTTGTAATTTCCACCCTTTACGATAACGTGTAAGCGACACAATACCAATTTTGTGCGATGTGGGGGTGTTTACCCTTCCCCACGCGTAACCGACTCCCGAATCCATCAAATCGAATCTTTGGTAAACGCATACCATTTCTTGTCTTAAAAAACAATTTTTCCTTAAAATTGTTTTAAAAGACGTTTTTAGGTATTCGACCTACCCGACCCAAAGGTCGATGGCGACTCTTCATTTTATTCAAATCAATTCCAAATCACCAATTTTTCAAAATAAAAAGTCATAACTGTTTTAAAATGATATTTAATTGTTAAAAAAAAAAGGTTATGACAATACTAACAAACATTTATTTGAGTAAACATTGCAATATTTACTCTTCTCTTTGCTGCAATTATAAACTCATATAGCTTCATTTACCTAAAGATAGAAGAAAATGGTTAACCAAATTGAAAACCATTTCCAATTAAATACTCAAGCCAAATTGAAGGTGATGGGCGTCATTTGATGAAGATGGATCGTTAGCAGGTTCTGCGGAAGATGGGCGTCATATAACTCGGAATAGGTTGTTAGGCAAGAGCAAGAGCACGGCTGCTGTGAATCCAAAGTTTGTAGCAGTACTGCAACAATTCCACCTTTTGGGTCGAAACTTCAAGGTCATAGCCAAATGTAACACCTTTGCTTTAATAGTACTCGGGTACAGCCCTGCAAAGCTAGTGAAGAATCCAACAGCATTACAGCACTGTTATCTCTTCAAGAGTACATGGGAAATTCAGCTATAGAAATTGGCATAGGGTTTAACTCGGACAACAGTGAAAATGGGTTTTACGGGTCTTGTTTGGGGTTTTTTTCAAAGGATTGGAATCATCATGGGTTTCAACTACACAGTCCCCAAGTCCCAATTACTCCCAACTGAAATCGTTGAAGCATTTGCTGCGTGTTCTGTTGTTGGATTCTTAACTATCTTAGCAGGGCTCCTAAGCACCAGTAAATCAAAGGTTATACCACTTGGCTGTGACCCGGAAGTTCCGACTCAAAAGATGATAATTGTGGCAGGATTTGCTACAGCCTTTGGGTTCTCTGGTCTTGCTCTTGCAAACAACCTATTCCGAGGGATCACAGTGGCCATGGTTTGTGTAGCATTCATAATCCTTATATTCATCAAATTGCGTCTATTTTGTGTAGAACCTGCAAACTATACACTTGTAAGGGCACATGCAAATATTCCATCCTCTGGAGAAGCTGTAAACGATCAACTTCCGAGGGCACATGTCGATTTTCCATTACCTGGAGAAGCTGTAAAGGATCCACTTCCAAGGGAAGTGTTGATCCAGCGCATACGGTCTGAATTACATTTATCTCGTCTAAATGTTAAGAAACATTGTATATAAGTAAAAGTGTCTGTGTCATTTTCTCAAGATTAGAAAGGCATGCATGTTGAGAAGAACGATTTTAGTCTGGTTCTGGTTGTTTATGGGATGGAAAAAATCATCTCTCACAAGGGAGGACCAGATGGCGAGAACGGATAATGCATCAATTGGATTTAAAGTTTCATCTTGTTCTAATGAATAGATTAAACGAAAAAAGGGGATTCAACAATTCTAGTAATCTGCTTTTGGAATTCGAGTTTCCATATTCCTTTAATGAAACAGATTAGCAAAGGAAAAGAGAATTTCCAGCAAAACAGAGAACATACAGATGAACATCTCAGTATCTCATCCTGGGTGTGATTGACTTACACTTTTGCTTGGTGAAGTACAACTCAAAACAATGTCTGAATGCAAGCTCTAGGCAAGAAATTTTGAAGCTTTCGACATTTTCGAGAAATTCCTTCACGTCTTCATGTGGAATCAAGCTTATAGAGAGAGCAGCTATGCAGGAAAGAAGATAATTGCAGAGATTACCTTTGTTAAAATGCTAAGGATTAAACAAGAATTCAGATACAGGCCAATTCGGCTTTGGCGAGATGTTAAAATGCAGCTAAAAATGTCTAAAAACTCAGCTTGGCTCAAAGAGTCATCTCTTTGAAACAGTGGAGTTGCCTCCCATCGGCAAGGATCTAAATACCACAGCCAGTTGATGTTTAGTCAAGCATTTTAACGAACAGATTGTGAAACAAGACCCTAACTACTCAGTCAGGCATTTTAACAAACAGATTGTTAAAAAAAATACAATAACTATTCAGGCATTTTAGCAAACAATCGATGCCAATAACTCTGTCCAGATTTTCTTAAAAAAATTAAGCAAAAATTTTCAACACAATGATTTCTCCCTTTATGCAGGATAATTAGAGAAGATAAAGTCGGCTTTAGTCCAGGAAAATAACCAGATCATTACAATCATATTTGAAATATTAAAAAGAAAAAGAAAACGAAAAAGAAAACCCTATATCTTGCAATCACCAGATCCAAAAGATCAGGGCTCTAAGTATTACAAGAAAAGTTGTCAGACAAGGAAAACATATACAAGACTTGATAAAGTTGAAACCATCGCTGCAAATGAATAAAGCGAGCAGAACCTTGAAATTTTGGAGTCATCTCCGATCATCAACGCCGTGAACGATCCGGTGAAGGTAAAAACGACCGAAATGACGCAGGCATAGAAGGCGGATTGATGTCCGTGGAAGAGCAGCGGGACTTTACTTTCTCCTATGTTTTCACCGGGAAGCAAGATAAGGATGATACCGAGGACGGTGGAGAATTGGAGATTATGCCTGGCCGCCGTAGATGAATTAACGGCGGCGAGAGCGAGAGCGAGCGGCTGTTGTTTCATCCTTCTCACCATCTTCATCGTGCGAGAATTGTGTTCACGAAACAAAGAAAAGATACAAGTTTATTCAAATAAACGCGTGTTAGTCGGGACCATCTCCACCTAAGATGCGTTTAAAGTGAAAAAGAAAAAGTTCACAAAGAAGATTTGGTTGGATTTACCTGAGACATTACCGACCATCTCCACCTAACACGCGTTTAAAGTGAAAAAGAAAAGTCAACAAAGAAAATTTGGTTGGATTTACCCCCATCCCTCTCTTTACTAAATTTTCTGATCGGCATACTTGAAGCAACCGTGTTTTTTCCTCAAACTACTAAATCTATGGCTGCGATAGAAAACGATACTGTTCAACCTCATTCCGATATTGTTTCCGGTTCTGATCTGTTCATCTCTTTGCTTACCAATGTTCTTCCAAGTTTTTCTGATCTGTCTCAACACCAACTTGATGAACTCCGCCGGGAATTTTCCGGTTTATTACCTGCACATCGTCGTTTCGTCCTTAATGCCCTTCGTGATCCAGAACTAACTCGTTTTCGCTTCCTCAGTGACATTGGGGGTCATCCAGATCCTCACGAAGTAGTCTCTGATCTGCTTGCGTATGAATATGCTAAACTCGAAGCCATGGAGAAAGGTATGTATGAATTTGAATTGCAATTACTTAGCGGTTAGATGCTTTACGATTTTGAATTTGTATTCTCTTTTGCCACAATTGAAGAATTGATCATTTGATGATTGAAGTTTTAGGATGTTTACTATTTCCTCCTGCTGCCTTGAATTTTGATATGCCCTAGCATAGTCTATCACTCTAGCCATTTCTTTTTCTGGGGTTTATTAGTTAACAACTTTTCTGACGTTAACAAGCAGTGCTTAAAAAACCAGTGCTGCCTATTGTAACGAAACCTCTATGCTTGTGTTTATTGTGTTCAATTTATGTGATTAAGAGCAGGGTTTCAAATCGTGGTCGCGGTCGCGTTTTCGGTTATTTCGGATTTACCGTGATTGCGGCCGTCGCGGGCGCTATTGCGGTCGTCGCGGACGCTATTGCGGCCGTCGCGGGTAACTCGGACGGCGGCGAAACCGCTATATCGCGGCCGAAATTACGGTCGCGGACCGTTTTTTGAAACCCTGATTAAGAGGTCATATCCTACAGTTTTGAGTTTGAATTCTTACATCTACAGACCCTTCCCTTTTTCTTATGCTGCAATCTCCTTCGTAATTGATATATTAACAAAATCATGCAACATTACTAATTTTCCATTGATATTATTGTACAGAGCTTTTCGGCGACTGTGTTCCCCTTTTACCCGATCCTTCTGGTTATGACTTTGGTACTTCTGCACATCCATTGAAAGGCAACCCTGTTCACCTTTTACCCTATCCTTTTGGTTATGACTTTGGTACTTGTGCACCTCCATATCCATTGAAGGGCAACCCTGTTCACCTTTTACCCGATCCTTCTAGTTGTGACTTTGGTACTTATGCGCCTCCATATCCATTGAAGGGCAACCCTGTTCACCTTTTACCCGATCCTTCTGGTTATGACTTTGGTACTTATGCACATCCATTGAAAGACAACGGAGGTCTGATAAGGGATATAGGGGGAAACTGGAAGTTTGCAAGGGATCATCAAACATGGTGTAAGGCATTAATTGCAATCGATACTGGCGTAATCATTGCTTTGATTTCCAAGTCTATAGGCACCAACCCGAAATCACTTCCAACCGAAATTATTGAATCATTTGCTGCATGTTGTGCTGTTGTTGGCTTCTCCACTAGCTTAACTGGGCTGTACATAAGCACCAATAAACCAAAGCTGTTACCATTTGGTTGTGACCCTGATGTTTTGACCCACAAGATGGGAATTGTGGCGGGACTTGCCACAGCCTTTGGGTTCACAGCAGGCGTGCTCTTGCTCTTGCCAAACAACTTATTCCGAGGGATAACAATGGCGGTGGCTTGTCTAGCGGTCACAATCCCAATCTTCATCAAATTTCGGACATCTTATGGCAAAGCTGCAAATGATCGACTTCAGAGTGAAGGTGCAGATATTCATTCATCTGGAGAATCTGCAAACGATCCACTTCCAAGACAATTTGGAGAATCTGCAAACGATCCACTTCCAAGACAATTTGGAGAAGCTGCAAACGATACATTTCTAAAGGAAGGTGCAGATGTTCCATTTGGGGAAGCTGCAAACAATCCGTATACCATGCAAGGTGCAGAGATGGTCTAAATGTTTAGAACCATCGTAAATAAGTAATAGCATCTTACTATCTTCTCAAGATTAGAAAGGCATGCTGATTTACTTTGTGAGAAACCTATCAGCATCAATTTGGGTTTGAATATTTAATCATGATTTCAATTTGGTTCTTGGTGTATATGATTTATCATTTTCTTCTGTTGCTAGGTAAATGAATTTCCTATGAGTTCATAATTAGGCTTAATACAAAACCATACTTAAACTATGTCTCGAAAAATATTTTAGTCCCTAAAGAATTTTTTTGCTGAAAATAAGTGCGTAACGTTTTTTTCATTACTATTTTAGGTGTTCGGATGATCACTGCCGTTAAAAGATGCCATTAAGTAACACACGTCACATTATAGTATTTTTGATTTTTTTTAAATATTTTATACTAAAAAATTAAAAAAAAAACACACAGCACAGCACAATTGTTTCTCCCACCCCTTACCTCTCTCTTTTCTCTCTTCTCCCCTTCCACTGTCACTACCAAAGACCAACTGTCATGGCTGATTAAACGGCAAACGACGGACCACCACGTCCGATCAAATAGTCGATTATCACTATTAATATAAAGGGTTTTTATGGTTTCAAAACCCTAAAACAAAAATTTTCAATTACACCATTTTTAGGTGTTCAATTGGATGGGAAAGCATGGGGGGTTTTATTCGTGGATGGTTGGTCGGTCACACGCCGTTGGGTTTCGGCCGATTGACGGTGTTGATTGATGGTGTTAATAGCGATCGACGATGACAAAGAGATTAAAATTTTTGGTTTTTTTTAAGATTTGAACAAAAAAACTTAAAATTTTAAATTAATTTTTTTTTATTTTAAATAAAAAAATCAAAATTACCAAAACGTGACATTTAATGACGATTGACATCGAACACCTAAAAATGTAATGAAAAAAACGTTAAACACCTATTTTTAACAAAAAAATTGAAATACTAAAACATTTTTCGAAACATAATTTACTCACTTATTTTCGTATTAAGCCTTATCATCACTGCAAATATAGCAAAGTAAGAGTTGCAATGTTTACTCAAATGTTTTTTTTGTATCCGTTTTAGTGTTTTTTCAAGTCAAAACATTTATCATCGTATTTTTTTGGGATAAAATACACTTAAAAGTCACTTACTTACGTTACGTGACAAGTAACATTTTTTTTACCGACAAGTAACATTATTTTTACAACAATAAGTTGGTTTAATGAAATAAGAATTTAGATCCTTAAATAAATTAGCGAATAAAGTAAATTGGGTTGAGAGGATCGACTCCATAATAAGTCTATGTAAAATTTGATCCGAATTAATTGATTAATAGAGATCTGATACAAATGATTAAATAAAAAAAATATTATTTAAACATTCAAATTCAATCACTCAATTAAAATATTACTATAGACATATTACTGATCACAAAAGTAACTAACCTGAAATATAATTTGCCTAAAGTTTTCTTATAAATTCTTGCTTTGTATTTTGTACATAAGAATAGATGATTTATTGGATCGGGTATTATATGAAAAACTCAGACACAGATCAAACAGATCGAACATTTGGTTTGCAGTGCCATTGACGGATCTAGAAAAATATTATTGGTTGGGTCAATATAAATATAATAAAAATAATCTAATAAGAGTATAATTTACATATATAATCTTTCAATTTAAAAAATTAATAACAACTAAAATTAGTATAGCTAAATGTTACAAAAAAAAAATTATGTAAAAAAATATAGAGTCTGAAATATAATATTTTCATCAATTAAGATGAACTCTCATCATCATAGAACTAAACTCATTTATAACCGAGATAAAAAATATTGAATAATTATAATTGATTAAAATATGATATGATGGGTGCCTTTTAAATTTTTATTATAATATTATATGTAATATTTAAACATTCATAAAATTCAAACATCTCAGTTAAGTAATTAAAGAACAAAACAAATATAAAGAATAAAATTTTTATATAAAAAAGTAATAAAAGAGCCTGGAGAAGAAGGTCAAAAATTCAGAATCTCAATTAAGATATCTGATTACCTTCAATCTTAAAAAAGAAATCTTTGAATTTAAAAAATACATAATGAAAATAAATAAATAAATAAATGAGAAAGTGAGAACATTATATTATATAAGCTAGAAGAAGATAACTCTTAATTTAAGATTTTAAAAAGGATAAAATTATAATTAAACTTAAAATTAAATAGGATTTTAATTAATCTAATTTTTATTTAAATATAATTATCATTAAAATTAAATATAATAAATTGTAGAATTAACAAAAAAAAATCTTGGCACAGGGGGGCCAGGCCTACCTCCGCCACTGTGTAGTGCAATGAGTCGGGGGGTTGGTTGGGAATAGAAAGAGAATAAAAAAAAATTGTCCAAATTATCAATTTGGACCTTCCAACTTTGGTACGAACTATGAGTATGTTTGTTTTCTTATAATTGATTTTCGATTTTCTTCATTTTTTAATGTTTAATTGATAGAAAACAGATAGTCAATGTAATTCATTTTCATGGTCAACTAAATTTTCTTTACATTTTTTTTGAAAAAATGACTTACGATCCAATTTTACATAGGTCAGAATACTTCTCCCTTTGTTAAAAGGACTACAGTTGAAAGGCCAAAAGAAGAACGCTTGAAAAAGATGGAAGAAATTATTCGAATGTTGCAAGGAGTTAATAATTTTCTTGGAATAGATGCAAAAGATCTAAGTTCGGTCTCTAACATATTACTGCCACCTAAGTTCAAGATGCCTGATTTTGAGAAGTATAGTGGATTCAGTTGCCCTCTCGATCATCTCACAATGTTCTGCGGAAGGATGTCTGGATATACTAACAATGATCAAATATTGATTCATTGTTTCTAAGATAGCTTGATTGGATCTACTTCCAAATTGTACAATCAGTTAAGTCGAATTCATTTCAAAACCTGAAGGATTTAGCCAAGTCTTTCTTAGAGCAATACAAGCATGTGAAGAATACGAGACCTACTCGATTCATATTGCAAAACATGGAAAAAAAAGTCTAATGAAAGCTTTCGACGGTATGCTAAAAAATGGAGGGACATAGACGTACAGGTTTGCCCTCCCTTAGCTGAGGAAGAAATGGTAATGCTCTTTCCAAATACCTTAAGAGCTCCTTTCATAGGATATTTGGTAGGAAGTACCTCAAAGATTTTTGTTGTTGAGTTAATTGCATCTGGATAGATGGTTAAAATAATTATCCAGAATGGTAGAATAGGGAGCACTAAAATATCCAATGCCAATGAAGAAGTTGAAATCAATATGACGAGGTCTCAATATTAAAGGGTGATATGGGAAAAACTCATATTGTTCTGATTTCAATGACGTATGAAGAATTGCTTATAATCCTGATTGAGAAAAATTTAGTGACTCTAGTTCAGTCCAAGCCAAAGGAACCATCATTTCCTGAAGGCTATGATGTTAATGCAGCGTGTAGCTACCATATAGAAATCTCAAGACACATTACTAAGGACTGTTGGACATTGAGGCGTAAGGTTCAAAATTTGATTGACTCTGGGGCATGGACATTTAATGAGTAATGAGGCATTCTAATGTGAATCGAGAAGAAATCATTCCATTCACCATCAAGCGTAGTTGCACTTTGCATAAAAAGACATTGTTTTGTTTGAATTTGTTTTTGTTCTTTCTCTTTTATTTTCTCAAATATTTGTAAATAGTTTAATGTTTGAACTCATTAAGTAAAATGATTCCTTCTAAGTTTATGATTAATGAAAAAAGTTTAATCTTGTTGTTTTTCATATCATTTGAGTTAAAAACTCTTTTAAGGATCAAGACTATAAACCTCTAACATGTGGCAAGATTAAACTTTTCTTATCTCATCTAAAACAAAAAAAAAATACAATCACTCTATTCTTTACCCAAAATAATTGGTCATTACCAAAACACCAAATCTTGACATTAACTCTCTCTAGGGCACCAAACTCATACTCTTAGTTTTCCTGGCATAATTAACCCTTTCATGAAAACATCTTTCCCCAAATAAATGACTTTAAAGTCACAACATTGTTTTCTCATGAAAAACCAACATTCTTTTACCACAATAAAATCTAGATGCATTGAATGCAAGATGTACGTTTGTACGTGAATCTTTCTGCATGAGAATAAAGATATGGCATCATGGACCAACTTTACAACAATAAGCTTGAAAAATCGGGGCATACTTGAAGCGAGAAGAAGAAGAGGAAAGTAATTGAAATAGTTCATCATGCATTAATTACATTGTTTTCATGTGAATAAAAGTTAATCCTAAATATCTATCCCCTAGAGATACCTCTTCTGCAAGGACTTCCATGTATGAAATAATGAACGACCTTATTTAACTATCTTTTCACAAAAGGAGAAAAATATCCATTGTTGTCCATTTGAGCCTGAATTTTTTCTTATACTTTAACTCTAACCAAGGATCACCCTTCACACTGGGGGGCAAGGTGATAAGAAATCTATTCGCATGAGTGAAGACTATTGTAACACCCTCAACCCATATCCGACTCGGATACGAGTCTAGGATGTCACATTGACTATACAAAACAATATTCTTAAAAAACAATAGAACATTTGGACTTATATTATTAAAATACAATAATATATATATATTAATACAAGTTTATCAAAAATACTCCGAGCATACACAACTTGACCCTTTGATTACATGCCAACATTCATTTACATAACAAAATGACCTACTGATTGAGTTGTCTCTGATCTGGTAGTTGCAGGAGTAATGTTGTCCAGCTACTTAACCTGTCTCGTCTAATTTCCCGGATCCTACGTGTGAAACACTCACACGCTAAGTCATCGACTTAGTGAGGCAATATAATAATAATAACAACAAAGAAATGTAATGAAAATGCCATAATAAGATGGAATGAGATAACACCGTATAGTTAACAATTCAAGTTATATCACCATGATCCTTATCTATATGTGAGTATTGTGAGGTTGTGCACTATGCTATCACCACAGCTCGTATAAATGCACCGAAGTGCCACGTATAATTGCATCGAAGTGCCGCGTAGAATTGCACTGTAGTTCCATATAAGATTGTCCCTAAGGACTACGTAGAAAATTCCTTAAGAATCATATACATATGCCAAGGATCAAGT